AAAAACCATAATTATAAACTAAAAAAACATAATTTTAAACTAAAAATACATTTTACTAACAAAAAACATTACATTAAAAATCACATTACAAATTGTAAATACAAGTTGCCAATAAGGTTAGGTGCAGTATCAAATAGACAATCATTAACCTATCAAATGAAAGATACATAGGTTCATCAATTAGAATACCTGGATAGATGGATAGTTCTACAAGTATTCTTTGGTATAGTTATTTGAAGCTGCAAAGAGAGGCCCAAAAAACAGAATCCTGGTTTTAACGTTGCTATCCTCACACATATTTCGTTTGCCAATATCCTAAAAAACCTGTAGAATCCATGACATGAACAATGAATGCTCTAATTTCCATCATTAATAATAAAAAGGTTTAAATCCATGACATGGACAAAATGACTTGTCTTCAGAGTGTTTGACATAATAGCTAGAGTTTAGAGAAGAATCTCTCTTTCCAAACAGATAATTTACATAGGGAACTTTTATCAAACACATGGTGTGCACTACATTATTCTGAAAATAAGGAAATTTGCGAGAGCAATAAACTTACGTTGACAAACCCTTCAAACTTGGGAAAATGACTCTTGAGGGTAATTAACTTTTGCGTTTGTACTCATTTGGTCCCTTTCTTTTTTTTTTGTATTCAATATACCATCGAACTTGTTGTTTGCGTTCACCATAACCCTTTTGACCGGCTTTTGACCTGTGATAGCCGGTCAAAGGGTTATGGTGAACACAAACAACAAGTTCGATGGTATATTACAAAAAAAAGGAAAGGGACCAAATGAGAACGAACTCAACAGTTGGTTACCCTCCTGAATCATTTTCCCTTTACTTATTTACAACAAATGACTTTATGAGATTCATTCTTGCTTCTCTTCAAAACATAACCAACGAAAGAACATTATTCATACATGTACAACTTTGTAATGCACTTGAATATTTATTAGGAGAATCTTGACTAAGCAGGCGCATTTCATGACTACATTTACATTTTCAATCAAATGATTTATCGTATCATGGATTCTAGATAAGTCTACAAACGAGTGGAATCACAAGTGCTGTGATTTTTGAGTTTACTTAGCTTTAAGATCGAATTCATGGGATAAGATACAACATCAATATGTACAATATCATGCTGCTTTTGTAAACACATCATCATAATATACCTTGAGGTAAACGTTTATGCTGATAAATATACCTCTCATACACAGTCATATCCTTTTGCAGAGAGGTGTTGACAGCTAACCACAGTAAGCATAGTATAAACCATGTTTTAACGAGGTTACCTCTTTGAAACGCTCTTTATATACGTTATAGCCAAAGAAGGTTGCAGTCTTTGATAATTTTGCAACTTTAATTTCATTTAACTTTTCAGGGAAAATGATTCAGAAGGGTAACCAACTGTTGAGTTCGTTCTCATTTGGTCCCTTTCCTTTTTTTGTACTCAATATACCATCGATCGTTGTTTGCGTTATATACGTTGTTTATAATGCGTATGAATACGTACACATACATCTCACAAACACGTATACATACCCATATACACGTACACATATACCACAACTCATTCATGTATATAAATATACATATACAAACATAATCCATCACAAGTTGGTGAAAAGTATAGACATTATAATGTTAAACTATGAAATGAGTACTTGATCCCGAAGGGGCACACGACTTTATGAACGATATTAATAGCTACAAGTTGATGAAAATAAAGATAATCATGTATAGTAGTGGTGTGAAAAAAACGAATCGAAAAAAACGACGTTTGGTGCCCGAAAAATTGAAAATAAGAAAAATCTGTAGCTAATCCGTAGCTACTTAGCTACGGATTAGCTACAAAATTCTAACGGAAAGCATACTCCGTAGCTAATCCGTAGGTAATTAGTATCCGTAGGTATTCCGTAGCTAATTAGCTACGGAATAGCTACGGATTTGCATTTTTAGCTATTCCGTAGCTATTCTGTAGCTAATTAGCTACGGAATAGCTACGGACCCGCATCCGTATCTATTCCGTAGCTATTTCGTTACTAAACTAGGGCATCCCATTCTGTAGCTGATCCGTAGCGATTCTGTAGCTAATTAGCTACGGAAATTTTCCGTAGCTATTTTCCGTAGGAAAACGCCATGTTTTCTAGTAGTGAAGTGTATATGTTTTTAACAAAAATTTAGTTATTTACAGAAAACTGCAAATCAAAGTTGTTGCAACAAAATTATTAATTATGAATTTTCAATGTTTGTAAAAAGACCTAATTTGTTATTTACAAAAAACGTATCTGTAACAAGAGTACATTTGTATTTAATATATTGTAATGTGTAAATTATAAATATATCTGATTTTAATAAAAACGCATGTAATGTCAGCTTATTACCATGATCAGTCACAACCTCCACTGATCTAATCTTATAACAATCTTTTTTTTTACAGGGGGATGCCATACAAATTCTTGGACAGCGAACGATTCAGAGCTACATTGAGTATTTTCTCAGTGTTTCAGAGTGCTACACCATATCATAGTACAGCTGCCCTCAGTTAGATAAGTATCAAAAATTTCTTCAAAATGACTTCTATATTGATGTTGGCCTCATGTCCGTCATACAACCAATTCCGGACACAATAACCATACCCCAAACCTGGTTTCGCTTTGTGTCAAAGTCACATCTCATAGAGCTTGGTGAAACCCCACCATATTATCCAGGTACTCATCACACCACCCCATCCCACTACATACCCGTTCCTTACACAGTTACATTTACTTCTATCCAGACTACATTGGCGTTCTATCGAAGATCAGCAAACTGCACCAAAGCGAGTGGGGAATCATTTGTGTTACTCATACTAACTGACGAAAGGTATACATGGTAACCAACAAACTACACTTATAATTTCTGTCATACCCATCTAATACCAAAAACAATTTCAATTTCGTTAGTGGTAGTGAACTTGCAATCAATCTATGGAAAGAATGTATAAGTAATCCACAGAAATTCAACCATGTCTCCTTACATCCACCACCCGCTACAACAGTTGTTGCAGTCACGAACTTAAAACCCTCCATATCTAATGGTACTTTTTCGTAGACAACCTTATATATATACATTCTATGACTGTCACATCATGTGTGGTGGTAGTTTTAATCTCCAAATTACTTTTCTACAGGAGCGTTATGCCATGGCTCATCACATGCTACACATATCTATGTCATCCCAGAGATACCAGAAACAACGTCTCTCATTAACCTATAAGCCATATAAATTAGGAAAAAATCATATATTACATATGGTAAACATCCCATACTAATAAGAGCATGCCATCAGATTTACGGGACCTTCAAGACTAGTGCCAGCACTATCAGGAACACCCTCGACTCTATATGACATGAAGGCCAAAAACATATCTGATCTCCTGGTAATGTGATACTAATACCAGTGGCGGATCCAGAAAAATTAGGGATTGAACTACTAGAAAAAAATTTGTTTCCAAAGGAAGTTTCCATTACAAAATCGTCACTAAACCTATGAATTTACACTAATTTTAAAATTATCAGACTTTGTGATGGATTGCTGACGGATTTGTGACGGATTTCCAACGGATTTGTGATGGATTTTCGAAAAAAAACACGAAATTTACATTTGACGGGAAAATTGGAGGGGTAGCCCTGGGATACCCCGGGCTACATAGTAGCTCCGCCCCTGACTAATACTACCTCTTTTTACAAATACGATTTGTTTCACACATCCACAAGCAATCAGTTCACATCTACAGGATAAAACATTCATTGTACGGGCTTCAATCAAAGAATTTCTCTTTCAAAACAGTTGGTACCAAACAACATGTCCAACCTGCAAGGATCCCATCTTTAGAAGGGGTGAAAAGTGGTACTGCAATGCACCCGCATTGATTGAAAAGCCAACTTACACGTAAGCATCTTTTCAATTTAACAAAAAGTCATTATTATGTAACTGCAGTCCTTACAAATATTTTCTGTCCATAGATACAAATTCACGGTCACGATCATCGATGCTACAGACACCATATCAGCAGTTATATCTGAGACATCATGTTGGAAGCTGCTAAAGTCGTCACTTGAAAAGTTTTAATCTGACAACCCGCTCATAAACAAAAACATCCTACCCTCGATCAGCACCGACCACAAAGGACAAACAAGAACAATGTCAATCCAAATGCTTAGGGCATCAACTCCTGACAATGTACGCTTCATAATAATAGACATCGAAGACTCAACAACCATGTCCGACACATCAGTCCCAACAACACCAGCTCTACCAAATGACAAGAATGCGACCAAATGACAGAACACCAGACTCATCCACACCTGTTCAACAAGTTGCACGTGCTCTCTCTTACGATCCTACAGGTAAATACACATACAACAAAATGAAATGTAAAAACAAAATACCCGAAAACATACTAACAACTTTCAGTTCATGTCTGACAGGACCTACACCAACAAAAAATGCAAAGCGGACCGCCACATAGCAAATGTCATAGACAATCACCGAAAATCCATCTTTTGCTAGGGCCAATATCTCTATCTTTTGTAATATAAACATACCATGATGAACCCCTACTACTCAAAACTATAACAAATAAACTCCCTTTGCATGAATCCTGCTCTTCTAAATTTGGCAGATGACTTCATAAAAAAAATACTAACAATATGCATATCCATCCATCATTGTTTAAGTGTATAATAGCCTTCTCAACTTACATACGTAAACAACCATAAAACTAACCAAATCTAATTTATATAACACCTTCTTTTCCTGTATCAACTAAGTAACCAGCTAAGTAAAAATATGCATGCTACCCGTCACATCAAACATGAATAGACACATAATGATTTAAATAATCCATTAACTAATATGAATATATTACTTTATTTATATCGATCCAGTAAATGATTATTATTATACAAACAAGCTTCATTAACGAAATCTTTAATATCACTCCGTAAATTCTATCAAACACATTACACAACAAAAAAATATTTATGGTCGATATTTTTAAACTTACACAAATTACTACTTCATTTATACAAGATGCACTTAAACATTTACTCAGATATTCTGACCCAACTGACAAATAACCACCACACACTGCTTGTGAATTTAATTGCGAGACCCAAACCCCCAAGATTTCTATCTACCAAATCAAGCAAAAAAAAACACTCAATGCCCCTTAACCCAGTCATAGCCGCCCTATATCCATCACTTCCCAGGATAACAATTAATTTACCATAGTTAATACAACCCAACCACCACAGTCATCCCAGGGCCGGTCATGAGGATTCAAATGCCCAGGACGAGCCGGAAAAAAAGGCCCTTAGGCCTTAAGTGTAACGAATTAAATTACATAAGCTAATTGTTTTTAAAAACAAAGATGAACTTTATATCAATAAAGTTAGCAAAATCATAGTATGTTTATGGGGTAACCTAAATTCTGCTAAACAATTATGCAATTAACATAATCTACTAATCTGATTTCCGTTTCTAATAATTTGTTTCAGAATCATTATTCATTCATTCATTAACCTTGATTTCAGAATCATCATACAATTAACATTAACCTTGATTTTCAGTCATCATTCATTCATAACATTGATTTCAGATTTCTGTCATAGAATAACATTAATCTTTATTCATTCATTAACCTTGATTTCAGAATAACAAGGATAAACTATTAAACTGATTTTAGCCACTAATTGAGGACTACAGTTTAACAAATCGATTGTGTGATTTGTATTGTGAGTCAAAATTGGCTTGACCTTCTGATTTCTCTGATACAAATTGACACAACTTTGACATAATCGAATTAGAGTATTACCTGATTAGGTGTGCACTGCCTTCAATAGTTGATCAATCGGCCCTTGCTGAGTCAGTGGGTTGTTGTCTTTGTCGCTGAGTAGCTGTTACTGATGCCTGATCGGCGATTGGGTTTTTTTTTTAACGAGATCGTATGTTCGTACCGAGTATCGACTGTTGCGATCGATGATGTTTGCTTGGCGCTTTCTGTGCTTTCTCCCGTAAGTGATTCTTGACGGCTTTTGGAATGGGCCGAAATTGAGTAAACATATTACATATTATTAAAAAAAAATGGGCCCATGGGCCCTGTTCCAATGCCCACTTTGCACATGCTCAAAACCGGGCCTGGTCGTCTCCTATAAAACCACACCACAAACTCACCGACCCCTCCACCAAACACCAAACAAACACCATGGATGGCATCATGCAGAAGCATGTCGACCAACTCCAAACCATGAAGCAATCCTTGGCCAACATCCAAAACACCTACACCACCATTAACACATCCAGGCAGAATCTACTACAACATGCCCCAGCCGAACTGCCATACAAGCACCTTGTAATCACCAACAGCCTGATCGGCGACCTCGACAAAGACACAGTAGTAATGATTGATATGTTTGACATGATGCTGCAGAACATGACAGCAGCCGAAATTCTTCCTACTATATCCAGAATGTATGTAATCCAATATCATGTAATCACTTGCTAATGAATGAATATCTTTTGATCCATATTTTGTCGCACACTTCATATATTCATCCGTTAAAAAAACGAAACAATATAAACGAAAACAGATAAAGTTGTTTGTATATTTTCAAAAGATATTGAATACTTTGAATTGCAGTCGAATATTGCTAACATTTATTTTGGAGGAGATTTTGACATATCTACCCCTTCAGAAAGAATTTAGAAATGACTTCAGGTCTTACCTACTAGTCAACATAGGACTTCTTTATGTGCAGATTCTATTTATCATTTCAGACGCCATTCTGATGGATAATAAAGTCAATTATCCAATATATCCTAAACAACATCGAAAGCTTCTGACCCCGCGTAGCGGGGATACCTCTCTAGTTATATTTAAGTAGTCTAATC